CAGACTAGATTGTCAGTGAACTTTTAGGGATTTTCCTGTCTTTGCCTCAGATGTCCTGCTTAGAGCACTGGAAATATAGGTATGCACTACTGCTCTCAGATTTATGTATGTTCTAAGGATTTCAGTTCATGTCCTTACACTTGAGTGGCAAGCGCTTAACCCATCAGCCCATCTCCCTTACTCAGAAACAGTGATATCAACAACAGTCACTTCAGAATCCCTTGAGAGAAGGCACTTTTTCACAATTTATTTTGTCACATTATGAAACTGTAAATAGAATGTACTCTTGACCTTCATATAACCTCACTTTAGTCCAAAAATCATCCAAATAGTATCTTTGTAACATGAGGGCCTGCTTGTTGGGGTTTCTGTCCTGTCTGGTCCCCATAGCCATTTAACCCCAAAGAAAATCACACAGAGGTCTCTATAAGTTATAAACTGATTGGCCCATTAGCTCAGGCTTTGTATTAGCTCTTATAACTTATATTAATCCATTATTCTTCTCTATGTTAGCCACGTGGCTCAGTACCTTTTTCAGCGAGGCAGGTCACATTCTGCTTCTTTGGTGTCTGGACAGGACTGGGGGGATGGGCTTCTTCCTTCCTAGAATTCTCCTGTTCTCATTGCCCTGCCTCTACTTCCTGTCTGGTTATCCCGCCTCTACTTCCTGCCTGGCTACTGGCCAATCCGCGTTTATTTAAAACATGATTGACAGAATACAGACAATTCTCCTGCACCATATCTTCACTTGGTTGGTCAGTCACTGACCACTGAAGATTAATGTGGCAAGACTAAAGTTTAGTCAGTTTGCCTAATCCGTCTTAATATCTTTAATTCTAATTGGTAACCTTCTCATTTCTCAGACTCGTAGTTTTGAGGTGTGATACCTTCTGATTTTCTTCACATTCCAGCCTACTGCTGAATACACTTACTGTGGCAGCTGGATGGGATTTGAAAGCAGTACCCATGGGTCCCAGCATCAGTGTGCTAGCCTGAGAGCCAATGATTACATAGTTCCATCTGTGGCTAATAGTATTTTTCCCTTCTTTTCTCTTCTCCTCTCCTCTTCTCCCCTCCCTTTCTCTCCTCTCTTCTCCTCTTGTCTCCTCTCCTCTCCCCTTCTTTCCTTTCTTTTTTCGTTTTCTCCCCTAAACACCCTCCTACCTTTCCTTCTCTAGACTAACATAATGTTTGGCCTAGTTAGTTTCTTCCTATGACACTGCTAAATGCTGAATGCTATGAACACTCACACAATTAATGAAAATTGATGTTCATGAGTTCTTAGCTCCAACTTTTCTAGGAATCTTGGTCTGAATGGCAATACTGTTTATTGCCACATATACTACTATACTTTGCCCACACATTTGTATCATATTTTGTGATTTATGAAGCTCCTCCTGTACCTTATTTGGTTTGTTGAGTATTTGAAATATGATCATGCTCTGTGTGTTGCATTGGGAGTTACTTTACACATGTGAAAGATGTAGAGAACAGAGCACTGTCAAAATAGAGGGCTACTAGTGTTTGAGGGCTGAGAGGCCCATAGACTGAAAATCAAAATCCTCTCTGTAGTCTTTAATTTCTATCACTAGAGAAAATATCCATAACGTGGACTAACAGTGGTTACTACTATAGACTAGAATAATATATTATCATTAGGAAACTAATAACCACACAAGATGTAAGTAGAGCTGCAACTTTGACTAGTTATGTGGAGGAGCAGTTGGTCCAGACTCATGGAAGTCACACAGAGAGAAGAGGTGGTGGTAGGAGTCTACTTGAAAAGGGAGTGAAATCCTGGGTTTAAAGGGAGCACATAAATAGATGGAAGAATGGGAATGACTAACTTTGTCTACTTCATTTACTCTTTTAGCTTACCTGAAAGGTTACAAGAGATGGTAGTGCCACTACATGTAAGTAAACTCTATGATGAAGAATGAGTAAAATCTGCTCTCAATAATATTCCTATGTAATAAACAAATAACCTATCCTATTATGTTGTTCCTAGACAGTTTCCTGCTGTAATTGCTCTATTTTGATCCTCCAAAGACTCCTGGGGAAGCCTTTTCTATCTTACCTCAAGGTTTGTCCCCACATTTCCCTTATCTGGAACTCTAGTGTCCCTTTTGAACCTCTTACCCTTTCAGTATTTGCTGAGCTCATACCATCTTCTCCAGAGAACTTTCTTGAAATATGCCAATGTGTCTTCTGTACGTGCTTCTGAAGAGCCCTGTACATCTTCTTGGTGTAGGACATACTGTTCTATATTGTAGTTACTACTTTACAGTGTCTGACACATAGATCAAATTCAGTAATGTAACATTTGTTGAGTGAATGATTTATGTGTTTGTTCATCTTTTTGAATATCATTAATTCCTTCTCATTCAAACACAATTGAACACATTTTCCCATCATCTTATTCCACAAGTAAATTTTATAAAATACTTATGGCTATTGATATTAAAGTAAATACTCATTGAGTATTTCATGGGAATCCTTGGACAGTATATGTCAATTATACACAGACCTGAGTAAATCCAAGCCTTAAATAGGAGTTTTTGAGTAACAAAAGTATTATTGATTGGAGCCCAATTCATGCTTAAGGTATTTTTGGTATTTTTCTCCCAGTAAGTGTAAAGTATACTGTGAAGGAGCAGTAAATTGTGATCAGAGCTGGAAGCGTAGTTTAGGAGAAGAGCATTTGTCTAGCCTGTGCAAGGCCCTGGGCTCAGAAACCCAGCAGCACAAAAGAATCAAAATGATCTATTTTGAATGTCTTATTTAAATTACATGTATTTTGTGTTTCTTTGCGAATATGGTGTGTGTGTGTGTGTGTGTGTGTGTGTGTGTGTGTGTGTGTATACATGCATACACATGCTTCACTGTGTCCTCCTTGTTCAGGATACATTTCTCACATGGTCTATTGTAATAGCCTCTTTTTCATGAGAAACAGATAATTTACTACATTGAGACTGTGGATAATTTACTATATATGAAGACTGGTGGATAAAAATACTAACAACTTCATTAAATTATTGGGAGGGTTAAATATCTATGGATTAGGATAGTACCTAGTGTACAGTATACATTCCATAAATGCTGTTTTAATATTTATTATTTGACTCTAGTCTTTTTATTCTAATTCCATTTCTCTCTTTCACAAGGGCAAATTACAACCAAATTGTGCAATTGCTGAAGAATTCAATAGCTTCTCTTCACTAACAGGGTGATGTATATGTAGATGCTTGGTGTATCTTATCCAAATCTTAGTGATTCCGTCCTTATCTACCAGTCACACTTCATCTTCTGTGATTTCCTTAAGCTTTTAGCTAAGGCAATATTGAAATTCTTGGTTTATATAAAATATATTGTACTGTAATGTAGTTACCTGGCAAACATATTCCTATTTGCTAGAAGGCTCCATCCCCATCATTCTTTTGTTTACTTGGAAAAGCAAACCCTTCGTGTGTCAGCTCAACTGTCGTTTCTTGTATAAAAGCCTCTGTAGCTTCTGCACATTTCCACTGTATTATATGTTTATCTGCTTCTGTTATGCACTGATCATATGGGGGTGTGATTACTGACATGACTTCTCCACCAAACTATAAAATACAATGGTCAGAATCATGGCTTTGCTTCTTTGAATGTTCATTAGCCAGTCTGGTATGTATAGCAGAAGCTCAATAAATATGTGATTGAATGGGTCATAGGATTTACTTAATAAATATTGCTAACGTTTACATGACCCATATTTAAGTGCTTGATTTCTTGGTCTCTTTTTAAAAATTAAACTACTATCTGTCAGATATATATGTCAAAAGAAAAATATAAACAATGAAATAAAAGTCCCCCTACAGCAGCTTTCAAAGGACTTGAATATTGGCTGTTGCTCATTCTAAAATCCCCAAAATTTAAGAACTAATTTGAAATGTGTTTGTGTGTAAATGTGTATATAAAACCATGTTTTATTTGGCTTATGCTATATGTATATTATTTGGAGAATTAAAAGGTAAATGAAATTCATTAATGCTCTGAAGTGAATTAATTGTGACTGGGGATGCTGGCACCATGCGTGCCTAGCACTCTCAAGGCTACTTCTACCCCAGTGATGTAGAATTCATTTAGGAGGACATCAGAAAGTTTCCTTCTTGATAATACTGCCCTCAAAACATGTTGACTTTTTAGAATAGCAGAAGCCGTTAGCACAGTGCTGATGGAACCTTAGATCTGATGTAGATTTGACTGCTGTCAGAGTAATTGGCATCCCCTACAGCAGTGGTTCTCAAGCTGAGGTTTACTACTCCTTTGGGGGTTGCATATTAGATAGCCTGCATATCAGATATTTACATTATGATTCATAACAGTAGCAACTTTACAATTCCAATTTAGCAATGAAGTAATTTTAAGGTTGAGGGTCACCACAACATGAGGAACTGCATGAAAGGGTCGCAGTATTAGGAAGGTTGAGAACCACTGCACTAGAAGCAATCCATGTTGACACCAGAGGATTCATTGTGAATATCTGCTGCAAACGAACTTCCCAAGATGGCTGAGTACCAGTGCCAAAAGGGACAGATGAGACAATATGGCTGTCCCTGCACTCTGTCAGCAGCAGAAGAGAAGCAATTCACAGTTAATTGGATGTTTCCTTTGGAGGGCACAGCATGTGCCTTAAATATTTTGCAGTTCACTAGTGAGGGGCCCTATAACCTGATAATTATTAAGAGTAAAAATCTTAATAGTGATCAGATGATCACTATTAAGAATCGTGGCAAGTTGTGTCGGTGGGGGGAGGATTGTAATTCCAGCTACTTGAGTGAAGCTGAGCCATTTGAGGCCACCCTGAACAACTTAATAAGACTGTAAGTCAAACTATAAAAGTAAAATAGGGGTGTGTGGGCCAATGCTTTTTTAGTGTATACAAGATCAAGTCAATCTCTAGTACAACCAAAAGAAACACAGGCAAATAAAGTGTTCAAATTCAGATCTGCCCAACAAATTTAAAACCCAAGGCTCACTGCATCTGTCAGCTTGCTGACTGTCAGTTGCATTCCACACATGTTGAGTCTGGCTACAGAAACACAACCAGTAGAAATGGGTGTCAGCATGCAGAAGTACCCCATCACGGTTACTGAAATTCACCTTTTAATATTTTCTAGAATCATTAAGGTCAAGGAATAGAGATTTTTTTTAAATTATCATTTAATGTATAAAGTTTTTACACTAATCTTGATGGTAATTTCATAAATCACTTGCTCTGTCTATGTGTGTTTCGAAAAGGAATATCCCCCTCTTGTTTTGTAGTATCATGAAGAGACTGTCTAGAAACATTTGTTGCTTGCATAGAGTGAGACGGAGCAGGAATTGAGCCTCTTTTGACTCCTAGGATGAAGAAGAAGTACCATTGAATATGAAAATATCATACAGTCATCCTTGCTGGGAATCTATATTACTAGTAGACTAGACTACTAACAGATACAAGGAGGTATTATTTATACAAGATAAGGCAGAACCTCCAAAGATAGGGTGACTCCAAGGCTTTTAAAATTCTTCTTTCTGTTAAGTTTCACTGGGTCACCATTGCCGTAATCTTAGGGGGCTGGTTACTGCAAGAGTGAAGAGCAGAGTGATGCAAACAGAAAGGAAATGGGGTTGTGAGAGTTTAAGAAGATCAGAATAATGAAAATTTAGAATGTAAAATATAGGCAATAGAGTAAAAAAATGTGTTAGCTTTTATGCCTGGACAAGAACAGAAGGAATGGAGAAACAGGATGTTGGTTCACTAGAAGATGATACATTTGACTTTGTGCAGGTACGTTTTGGGACTTGATAATCACCCAGGTTGTGATATCCTAGTGTTCTTCATAGGTGTGTGTGTGTGTGTGTGTGTGTGTGTGCGCACATGTGTAATATGTTTGGGAAACTTTTGTAGGAACTAGCAGAGGTTTGCCTAACCTCTAGTCCAGCCCTTGGGAGATAGAAGATAGGCTGCATTTGTGTTATGTTTATAAGAAAAGTATAGCAAGTAGAGGGTAGGTACCTTCTTTGGAGATTTTTCTTCATCAAAGCTCCGAGACCACAGTATAATATGTGAGGAATATGTATAGATGGATATGGCAAAGACCCTAATTTCATTATACTTTATAAATCCCAAAAAGGCCCATTCACCTAGCTGCTGTCCAGAAGTGTAAGAGTGACACTAACACATTGAATTTAAAGCTTCTTGTAAGCAAAGAAAGCACAAAATTTATAATCATGAAAAACTACAAAACTGGCTATTCAACTGAAAAAAAAAAACCCACCATGAATACTGCTCATTTTCTTACCTCTGTCATATGAATGATGTGATGTCTTTCTTTCTTTATCATGCTGTACGGTGTAGCATTAAAAGGAAAAAAAAACATCGATTAAGTTTCTAAAAGTGGCTGTTAACCTACTCTACAGTAATCTAACACAGTACCCTCCCTTTAATCCCAAACTCTTTCCTTAGCACTGTTCTCAAGGCTGATACAGACTGCCAGAGTTTGTCTTGTGCTTCGCACGGGTACCTACACCTAACTAGTTCAAAACAATGTCCTATGTATCTGAACACCCCATCTTTCCAAACTTGTTTCTCTTCTGTATTTTGTATTTTGGCTAAAAACATGGCCAGTACTCAATGCCAAAAACTTAAGAGTTGTTTCCTTTGTTTAAGAGGAGTCTAATTCAATGCAATCTAGTGTTTATTGAGCACATTTCTTGGAATGAAAATTGGCTATTTCTGACCTCAAGAAGTGCAGCTACTAGAATGGACAAATACAGTGAGTTCTGATGAGGGAGTAAGCCCAAGCACTCTGAGAGGGAGCATTTGAAAAACTCAACATCATCACCTTCCTCATCTACCTCAGAAATCGTCCATTTATTCAGTGGCCAGGTTCTGAAACACTCAGATTCCTTGACTCTGTAGCCTCTAATTCAACTTCATTGCCATTGCCTTAGTTAAGGCCCTCACACTGTTGTCATTTTTCAGTCTTAGGGATTGAACACATGTCCTTTTACATGCTAGCGAAGCACTCTGCCATTGAACTACCTTCCCAGGTCCTGTATTCTACACTGTTGTCCCAACTATCCAAGAAGACTTAGAAATAACTTTCCCTTATTCTCCATCATCCTTTCCACAAACTGCAGCTAGGTTATCATTTTAGAATCCAAATAATTCTTTTTTTTCTCCCACATTCCAACTAAAAAAGTTTCAATGGCTCCATTACTGAGAGGACAAATTTGTACTTCAGCAAGGTTCTGGCTTCAATCTACTTTTACAGGCTCATGTCCATCTCCTTGGCGCCCATACTTTTACTCAGTCTGCAATATTGCTTCAGTGTCTCCTTCCATCTATCAACATGGAAAATCCCTACTTATATTTCAAGGTTTAAATCAACTAAACCTTTCTTTAGTATCCTCCCTTTAGACCTCTCAAGGCAGGACTGCTCTCTATACCTTCTGTGTTCCCACTGAATTTTGTAAAAATAAAATCTTTTGCTATATTGTAAGGTTTTTGTTTATGCGTGCTTTACCCCTAGATGATAACTGTCTTCCATCTTGCTATCCTAACTTACCCCTTTCCTTCCTTCTTGTTTAGGCCAGGACCTGGTCCACAGTAGACTGTGAGTAAACGTTAGCTATTATCTTTGTCATTGTCACCATGCTTGTGATCATCACCATCATTCAATGTTTAATCTCATTTCTGCTAAAGTTCATGGTACACTAAGCATGAGACTGGCTCAGTATACCTTATTATGGAGAGGGTAAGATCTGCCTAGAACTCCATATTCTCTTACTGAACAGTATCAAGCTAAGTAAGGGGCTACCCCGTACAACCCAAAGCTAGCTACATCAGCCAACAAAGCAAAACATGCAACACAACTTTCTACCTTTTGCTCGGCTGGATGTTGTATGTTCCTCACTTGGGGTGGTAAAGTTGTTGATGTCCTAATAAAAACCTTAATGTTACTTTGAGACTGTTGGCTTGATCCTGAAGGAGACCAAAAGAAAATTATATACTTTTAAAAGTTCATTGAACTATAATTGAAGTAGAATAAACTGTATATAATTAAAATGTGTAACTTCTTCAGTCTTGATATATTAAACTTATGAAATAATCATTAGAACCAACAAGTGCTTCCATCATAATGAAAGGTTTTCTTATGCAGCTTACCAAGATAGCATTCAGCATTATGTAGCAGTTAAGAACTGCTTGACTCAGAAAATTCTCATATATTGCTGTTGTTTAGATGATTTTAAAATATTTTATTTATGTGTATAAGTGGTTTTCCTGTATGTATCTAAGTGCACCATATTCAGTGCCTGCAAAAGGCCTGAAAGGATGGTTGAGTCCTCTGGAACTGGAGTTACAGATGGTTGTGATTTGCCATGTGTGTGCTGGGAAATAACACAGGTCCCATGAAAGAACAGTGAGTACTCTTAATGGCTAAGTCATCCTTCCAGCCCTGTGGTTTGGATCTATTAAACTGACCTCAAAAAAGTGCATAAGACTTGATCCTTAGTTGATGATACCATCGGGAGTAGTGCAGACTATAGGAGGTGGGAATGAGCTGGAGGAAATTAGGTCACAGGAAGCACATCCTTGAAGGGTATATTTAAATGCTTGCCCCCATTTCCTATCTTTACTTACTGTCTTGTATGAGGTAAGCAAGATCCCCCCTCCCCATCCACCATGTTGTAGTACCTTACCACAAGCTCAAAGAAACAGCTCCAAATGTTCATGAATGGCAACCTCTAAAGATATGAGCCAGACTAAATTTTTCTTTTGACAGCCGATTTTCTCATATAAAATAATTATATTCTCTTTTTAAGTGACTTCTCTGGTATTTTGTCATAGAATCAGAAATTTGACTAACATGTAATGTACAGGAAATATGTTTGTTCACCATTAAGAATTATCTTGGGTAGGAAAGATGGGAGATATTACTTAAGGACAATTACTGGTGAAATAGCACTCCATTAACAGCACAGAAGTGGTGGGAAGATAGAAGGGTGGTGAGAAAAGGGAGAGCAAAGGTATCAGCTTGGCTTCACACATGGCTTCTTCTGAACCTTGGTTAATATGGAGAGCAGACAAGAAGGACCACTGCTGCACTGTTTAAGACTCTGGAAGGAGGTCTCTTAGGTCATCTCTACCCTTGACTCCTTGTTACCCAAGGCACAGCACAACAACCTGGCTATAGAGTGGGGCTGAGCACAAGGCACTCTTTCTAGAATTTTACTTCCTGTACCATTCTTGGTTCCCCTGCGGTATAGCTATGTTTAGAAAACTCCAAGACTCTAACTAGGGAGCTTCCTAGGAGCCACTATGAAGGTGGTCTACCTTGAATAATATGCAGAATCTAAGCATAATTATCAGGGTGTAGAAAAGAGAATTAGAAGGTTCCACTCAAACTAGGGATAAGAGGATAAATCACGAGCTGATAACAGCCTTCAACTGTCAATTTGAAGAGGCCAAAGACATTCAGAGTGGTGATAAGGACATCCTCTGGAGACCAGGAAAGGCAGAGGCTGTTTCATCCAAATACACTATTCTGCTTCCATGGGAACTTGGAATGCAGTTTTGCCTAAACTTTAATGTGCATGCAGAGCATGTGGATATCCTGTTGAAATTTAGTGGGATGTGAAGGAGTCTGGGAATCTGTGGCTATAGTTACTTCCTTTGTCAGTGCAGCTGATACACATCTAGTTGAGTGAAAACAAAAGACATGCCTCTTGTATCCAGATGAAAACTGTGGGGAAGAAGCAGAACAAAAGGGAGACTCCCTGAATGACTGAGGAAATTTTTTTTAATTTATTTATTTATTAAGTATTTCTGCCTCGTTCCCACAACCGCTTCCCATTTCCCTCCCCCTCCCCCGATCAAGTCCTCCCCCCTCATCTGCTCGAAGAGCAATCAGGGTTCCCTGACCTGTGGGAAGCCCAAGGACTGCCCACCTCTATCCAGGTCTCGTAAGGTGAGCATTCAAACTGCCTAGGCTCCCACAAAGCCAGTACGTGCAGTAGGATCAAAAACCCACTGCAATTGTTCTTGAATTCTCAGTATTCCTCATTGTTTGTAATAGCCAGAACCTCGAAACAACCTAGATGCCCTTCAATGGAAGAATGGATGAAGAAAGTATGGAATATATACATATTAGAGTATTACTCAGCAGTAAAAAACAAGGACTTCTTGAATTTTGCATACAAATGGATGGAAATAGAAAACAATATCCTGAGTGAGGTAAGCCAGACCCAAAAAGAGGAACATGGGATGTACTCACTCATATTTGGTTTCTAGCCATAAATAAAGGACATTGAGCCTATAATTCATGTTCCTAGAGAAGCTAAATAAGGTGAATCCAATGACTGAGGAATTTAAGGAGACTCCACAATGATAGAATAGACTCTACTGGTCTATTGTTAGGTTGGCGGCTAATGCAGCAACAAAAAGCAAGACTACATATAACACATAGTACTGGTCCTGTGCGTGTTCCACAGTCAGCATGGGCAGAAATGTCAAAATGACAATGCCATCCTGTGTAATGCATAGAGGACATCATCACTAAATCTAGTATTGCCGCAAATTAATTTCAAACCATAAAAATTTCAATTACGTCTGGATTCCAGAGATTCTTGAGATGATTTCTGGTCAGTGAAACTTGTTTTCTTTACATATTGTCGAGGTGCTTTAAAAAGAGAGAGAGAGAGAGAGAGATTTATTTTTAACAATGGTCATGTCAAGTACAAAATAACAAATATTAAAAATGGCAACTGATTTGTATTCAAGTTTTTAGAATAAGACCAGGGGAATAAGAATAGAGAATAGTACACAGCTTCAGAAATATATGTGTATAAAGGATTTCTGCTGCCAGTGATATGACTTGCTACCCATATGTCTCAAAACTCAAAGTCAAAGGAATCACAAGATGCAGAAAGCACATTAGGAGGGCTCTTGGTCCTTCTTAGTCTCATAGAGACAGAGGCTTCAAAGACTTCAGTAGATCCTTCATTCAGTACTAACGAAGGATAGTTATGTAAGTGGAACAAAGGACATAGAGCCTACCCCCTCTTCTCTGTAGACATAACAATGGAGCAACTTGGTGGGTGGCAGCATCATAGATGGCAGCCCCAGAGGCATAAAATGAAGCCCTGCCTCTGGATCTTATTAGGAATAGGAAGGTACAGAGATATGTTAAGAGACAGGGATTTGGGAAAGCCACTGTTCTGAACTGGGCTTGGAGAGCTGTGAGCTGCAAAGAATGGTCTAGTCTGCTGGGGGAGTGTGGAGAGAGCAACAGCAGCTGAGGGATAGGGATTCTCATCCAGGAGGCGATAAGGACAGTGATGCTGTTCAAAGTCATGACACAAATTGAACCATGCAACTGAGTTAGAGAGAGGATATTTTTGTATTATGCAGAAGAGATCGTTACCAAATACAGTATTCTCACACATTGTTAATTTAGAAGAATAAAAATTCAATTACTTATTGCTTCCATGAGTTGTAGAAATGATTCCTCTTCAGAAAAACTTGTTTTCTTTACATTTTGTGGAGTTGCTTAAACAAAATCAAAAAGACATTAAATCTTTACAGTCGAAATGACAAAATGATAAAACAACAAATATTTAAAAAGGTGTCAGACTGCTACTGTTGAACTTTTCAAAAAAGACCAGGGAAGAGGAGTGGGGAAACTCTGTTGCTGTTGAAATATATGTGACTTATATTTTTATTTTCAGTGACATGACTTTGTCACTTGAGGTCTCATATCAGCAGAGGTCTTGGTTGTTGCTAGGTTTATATTTCCATAGGCTTCCAAAACATCAATAGATCCTCTGTCAGCAACATTTAAGGGGGGATTTCCAGGTGGAACAAAAAGAGATGGGGATAAAACCTCCCTGGGAAACAGAGTTGAACTGCAAGGGGTGGCAGCCGCATAAGTACCAGCAGACACACAGTCTTTCAGAAAGTCACTGTTTTGAACTGGGCTTGGAGAATTGTCTAATGCGGAAAGTGGCATACCTACCCTGCTCAAGAGAATATGGGAAGAGGGGCACCAATCAAGTAATCAGAGGATGACAGGGTGCGATCATTGGTTAGCACTGCCCTCAACACATCATTTGATGGAAGAGGCTAGAGATCTTTGCTGCATTGTTAGTAGAAGAGCTCACTACCAAATCCAGTATGCCCACTAATTACTAACTTGTAATAATAAAATTTCAATTACATTTTATTTTGACTGGTTCATAAAACAATTTCTGTTCTGAAACAATTCTTTTCTTTGTGTTTGATGAAGTTGCTAAAAGAAAAAAAGAATTAAGTTAACAGTGGAATTGCCAACATGCGAAAATAGGGGACATTCAAAGAACCACTAACTGCTACTGAGTTGGGCTTTTCTAAAACAGCTAGTGGAGAAAGACCGGGAAGCACTCTGATATCGAAGAAGTATATTTGGTAAATAAAGCACCTCTGTTCCCAGTGATGAAAATGCCACTGTAGCTAAAGGAGGGGTGGGGCTAAGAAAGCACATTGGCAGGTGCCTTGATCCTTCTTGACTTGTAGGGCCAGGCTTCAGAGACATCAGTAGAACCTCTGTTCAGTAATATAATAAGATAGGTGTCCAGATGGATCAAAGGCTCAGGGTAACCCCTGAAAGGTCCAGGTGCTAAGAAAGTGGTATCAGCATTAGAGGAGGACACTGAATATCTGACTCTGGATCTTGTAGGAGACAGAGAAGAACAAAGACAAGTCCACGGTAGTGGGAGCTGTGCTTTGAGCTAGGCTTGGAGTGTGGTCATTTGCACAAAAGAGGAGCTATCATCTCAAGTAGTATGGAGAGAGCATCACCAATTGGCTGCAGGGAAAGCTAGCTCAAGGGACCACAAAAGGGGTCAAAATTTTCATAAGCACTATATAGGACATGTCATTTCATGGATGAGAATAGAGGATAGTTAAGCAGAAGAGACCGTTACCAATCATCATTAATTAATTTATGATTCAATTACATTTTGCTTCTAGATTGTCTCCCGTCAGTCTGTGATCGGTGAAACTTCTTCTCATAGTATTTGGGTAAAGATCTTAAAAGAAAAAGAGACATCAATTTCAAAAATGGAAATGACAAAACAACCGATATTCAAATGGCAACTGACTGACCTCCATTGGGTTTTGCCAAAAGTACTAAGAGGAACATGAGTGGGGAAAATCATGGGACAAAATATTTCTGCTGTGAGGGATGTTGCGACATGTTAATATAGGTTTCAAAAAAGCACAAAGCCAAAGCCAAAGGAAAGGCAGGACTGGGAAGGCAATGACACTGGCTAGGGGTCTAAGGCCCTATTAGGTTTCCAGAGCCTCAGGCTTCAAAAGTATTATTAGACCGTTGGTCAGGAATGTAGCAGTCAAGTTCACCAAGTAGAAAAAAAGTGAAGTTAGAGGTAAATTCTTCCTGCCAGGCAGAACTTCCAAACATGGGATAACAGTAGCAGAGGCTCAAGAACTGCCTCAGTTCCTTTGGGAGTGAAAATGCAGAGAGAAATGTAGAGTAGCAGGGAGTATGGGGAAGGTGGGAGATCATTGTTCTGCACTGAGTTGGAGGGTAGTAGCAGGAAATGTAGCTTCCCCTACTCCGAGAATGTGGAATGAGCAACACCACTTAAGTAATTAGGGAGTGTAACCCAGAGAGCAACGGAGAGGGTGGCAAAGTTAGTGTTTCACCAAAACACCATTTGGTATATGGTAGGGGATTGTCTGCATTGCGTGCAGTAGAGATCAAAACCGAATCCAGTACTCCCAGAAGTTACTGATTTCGAAGCAGAAAATTGCAATTACATTTTGCTTCTAGAAGGTCTTCCATAAATTTCTGGTCGATAAAACTGGATCTTTTTGCCTTTACCGGACCATCTTAAAAAAAAAAGACATATTTTTAACAATGGGACTGACAAGTTCATACAATGACATTACATTAACATGGTAATTGACTACTGTCAGCTGGGGTTTTCCACAAGACCAGGAGAACAGGAGTGGAGGAACATGTTCTTGCTACAGAAAATCTATATAACGAATAACATTTGTGCAGCTTAGGAAATGACTGACAGTAGATCTCAAGCCCTCAAGGCTTACGGCAGACAGAATTAAGTAAGCACATTAGCAGGGGGCCGTGATCCACTCAGGTTTCTGGGGCCACAGGTTTCAGAAACATTAGTAGATCCCCCATTCAACAAGAGCTTCAACTCAATTATCTTGGAGGGAGTTCTCAAGGTACAAAAAAGTATTTCAAGGCAAAACCTGCAGGAGGCAAAGGTGGTGATGGAGGAACAGCAGTAGCAGAGATGGAATGAAGGTATATTTTGGGAGTCTCATTGGTGATAGAAAAGTACAGAGATGGGTTAAGAGGGGGAAGATTCGGGAAAGTTGGGGGTTTGAACTGGGGAGGGGGTTCCTCTTCATTTAACAGAAGAGGTTCCCAAACTTTTATATTCCCACCAATTACTAACTTTCACCTATAACATTTTGATTACATTTTTGTTCAATCGGTTCGTAAAACATCTGCTCAGCAAAACTCGCTTTCTTCTCACTAGGGTGATAGTAATCTTTAAAAAAAAAACAACAGTCATTTATTAACACTGGACATGATGGAATAAAATGACCAATATTAAAACCATAGTTACAAATCAAGATTTTTTCTGAAAAGGGCGGGAAGAGTGGAGAATACCCTACTGTTGGGAAAACACATGTTACAATTGAACCATTTCTGGTTCATGTGATGTCATGTGACAAGTAAAGCTGCGAGTTTTGCAATTATCAGAAGAATCTCTGTTCAACAAGATGAAAGGCTAGCTTGCTAGTTTTCTAGGCAAGTATTCCAAGCCTCTGACATCCTGTCACATTGTTGTTATCTGCAGTATTGGTACTTGAGGAATGTAGAACAGTGTTATAAACAATATTGCAAATGAATCTTTTAATGCTTCATATAAGTTTATAATTTTGTACTGGGCAGCATTCATAGCTCTCCCTGGCCACAGGTAGGATGCACCTGAGTAGAAGAATGGAGGTCGAGATAAACCCTCCGTGGGAAGCAGAGCTGCTGAGCAAAGTGTAGCTGCAGCAGAGGCACAGATTCTGCCCAGAATCGCATTGGCAACAGAGAAGTACAGAGACAGATCAATAGCAAGGCCTTTTGGAAATGGCAGGGTACGACATGGGGCTTGGAGAGTTGTCACCCACAAGGCAAGACCTGTTTTACTCTGGAGTGTGGTGGGATTAGCACCAAGTGCATAATTTAGGAGTCTAACTCAGAGGGAGACAAAGGTAGTGCCGCTCATGGTAAGCATTACTCCAAATACCCCATTTTGCATGAGGATAGAGAATTTTTCTACATTATAGTCAGAAGAGTTCCTTATATTACCGATTCCAGAATCCCCCTACAAATTACTAATTTCTAGTGATAAAATTTCAATTACATTTGGGTTCCAAAAAGTCTTGAAATGTCTGCATCTCAGGCAAACTAGGTGTCCTTGTGTCTGTTGGAGAAACTTAAAGGGAGACATTTATTATTAACCAGAAAAGAATAAATGAGAATATGACAAATGTTAAAATGACAGCAACCACTAAAACTGGGCCTTCCTAAAAGAAACAAGGGGGACATTCTGTGGTGCAGAACTATAAATGACAAACAAATGAACTATTTCCGCTGCCAGTGGCACATGGAACTGTGCCTCAATGGCTCAAAGGCAAGGGAAGGAGAGGACTGAGGAACACAGGCAGTGGTCTTGGTCCTTAACTGCACAGGGCCACGGGCTTCAGATGCACAAGGAGAACCTCTATGGAGTAATCTGGAAGGACAGTTCTCCAGGTGAAAGAAAGGGACCAGAGGCAGAGGGGTGCCATCAACAGAGACACACACTGAAGAGCTGCTTCAGGTTCTCGCAGACAGTTCTCCAGGTGAAAGAAAGGGACCAGAGGCAGAGGGGTGCCATCAACAGAGACACACACTGAAGAGCTGCTTCAGGTTCTCGCAGACAGTTCTCCAGGTGAAAGAAAGGGACCAGAGGCAGAGGGGTGCCATCAACAGAGACACACACTGAAGAGCTGCTTCAGGTTCTCGTTGGTAACAGGACAGTACGGAGACAAGCTCAGTAGTGGGAGTCATGAGAAAGTCAGGGCTCTGAAATGGGTTTGGAAATTTCTCACTGCAAAAAGTGGTGTGCCCTGCTCTGGGGGTGTGGAGGGAGCATCATTAACTGAGCAAATTAAGGCATTTATTCGGGGGCAGTAGGGAAGGCGACACAGTTCCTAAGCATTAACCCCAAAGCACCATTTGATGGAAAGAGATGGAGCATTGCTGCATTATGTATGGTAGTCCCACAATTTACTAATTTTTAATCATAAAAGTTTAATTACATTGTGTCTCCAGAAGTCCATAAAATGAAGGTTTCTCTTCGTCAAAACTGGTTTTTGTGGTTTGTGAGGTAGCTTAAAAAATAAGATAGTTGTTTTTAGCAATGGAGATGACAAAACTAGAAAAATCACAAATATTAAAAGGATCACTGACGACGACTACTACTCAGTTGCGCTTCTCTAAAAGGACCAGGGAATCAAGAGTGGGCAACATTCTATTCACACAGAAATGCAGGGAGCAAATCAAGTATCTCTACTGCAAGTGACCATATGTCACTAGAGGTCTCAAGAGCCCAGAGCTGAAGGGAGGGCGGGATTGAGAAAGCATATCAGCAGGACTCTTGGTGTCAGCTAGTCTCACGAGGTCACAGACTTTAGTCATACAAAGTTAAGTAGTAGCAGGACCTCCATTCAGCAATCTGCAGGGTTGTTTGTGGAGACAGCAAGGAGGTCAAACCTCCTTGGGAGGCAGAGCTGTTAGAGCAAGGGGTGGCAGCAGCAAAGGCATGATTGAAAAATCTGCCACAGGATTTTCTCAGTAAGGAAAATTACAGAAGTTCAGTACAAGGGTGGATGAGGGTTCTGAACTGGGCTTGAAGAGTTGTTGGCTTCATAGAATGGGTCTTCCTGCTCATGGGAACGAGGAGAAAGCTGCAGGAAATGAGTAGTTCCAGAGTCTAATCTAGGTGACAATATAGATGGTAGTGTCACTGGCAAACACTATCCCCAGGCATCATTTGATAAATGGGCACAGTGAGTTCATCTGCATGCTAAGCAGGAGTGATCACTGTCAGGTCTCATAACTTATTAAATTCCAATAATAACACAATAGTTACATTTTGACTCTCTTGATTCTTGTAATAGTCTTTGGTCAGAAACACTTGTTCTTAAACTGGATGTAGATGCTATAAAAAAAGAACATTTATTTTTAACAGTGATGAAGATGAAATGATAAACTAACAAATGTTAAGATAAATACTATTCAATTGTGCCCTTCCAAAAGAAATGGGGGAACAATAGTGAGGAACACTGTGGTACCGCTTCAAAGTATGTGGGGAATGGACTATTTCCGCTGCCAATGGCACATGGAACTGTGGCTCAGTGGCTCAAAGGCAAGGGAAGGAGAGGACTGAGGAACACAGGCAGTGGTCTTGGTCCTTAACTGCACAGGGCCACGGGCTTCAGATGCACAAGGAGAACCTCTATGGAGTAATCTGGAAGGACAGTTCTCCAGGTGAAAGAAAGGGACCAGAGGCAGAGGGGTGCCATCAACAGAGACACACACTGAAGAGCTGCTTCAGGTTCTCGTTGGTAACAGGACAGTACGGAGACAAGCTCAGTAGTGGGAGTCATGAGAAAGTCAGGGCTCTGAAATGGGTTTGGAAATTTCTCACTGCAAAAAGTGGTGTGCCCTGCTCTAGGGGTGTGGAGGGAGCATAATGGAGTAACTAAGGGGTGTGGTCTAGAGAAGTGAAGATGGTGACAGTTGATCATGAGTGTTACCCACAAAACACCATTTGGTGGAAAAGGGTAGATGACTTTTTTGCATTCTAAGCAGAAGACTTATTAGCAAGTCCAGTATTCCCACTAATTATTAATTTCCAATCATGACATATCAGTTACATTTTTGTTCCAGGTGTTCTTGAGACGTCTTTGGCTCTGTGACGCTTGGTTTCTTCTGGGTTGTCACAGACGCTTTAAAAAAAAAAGGACATTTATTGTTAACACTGGAGATGACAAAATGATAAAATGTCAAATATTACAATGGCGACTACTACTCAGCGGTGCTTTTCCAAAAGGCCCAACATAACAACAATATAGAAAACTCTGGTGCTGTAGGAATTTATGTGGCCAATAAAATAAATCTGTTCCCAGCCGCATGTTATATTACCGTGGGTCTAAAAGGCTCAAGACCGAAGGGTCTTGGGGAGAGTAAGGGAAAAGGAGATTAAGAAAGCACATTGGCACTGGCCTTGATCCTCAGGAGATTCATAGGGCCACAGGCTTCAGAGCAATCCCTAGAACCTCTGCTTAGCAATCTGGACGGGTAAAAGAAGGGGGCAGGGATGCTGAGCAAGGGCTAGTAGGAACAGAGGAACAGGCTAAGGTCTGCTCACGATCCCACTGGTAAGGCAAAGTATAGAGATGAGTTCACTAGCAGAGCCTGTGTGGAAGTCAGTGCTGTGAACCACACTTGAGAGTTGTCAGCTACACAAAGTGGATAGAAAAATACAACTGAGTAACTAGGGAGTTGACTCCAATGAGCAATAGATTATATGGCATGGTTTGTATAAGGAATATATATATATAACACAACATGTGATGGCTAAACACAGAAGATTTATTTGCACTGTAAGCCACAGATATCATGACAAAATCCAGTATGCCTACAAATTTCTACTTCCTAGTTGTCATGCTTAAAGTCAAATTTTAGCTCCAGGCTTTCTTGGAATGCCCCCGGCTCAGTGGCAATGTCATGAGCTGTCTGTGGGTTTGTAACAGAAGCTTAAGAAGTAGAGGAGCTGCTGATTCTGGTGTTGTCCTGTGTTGCTCAGGCAAGCCTTGAACTAATTAATGATCCTCCTGCCTCATCCCCCAGAGAAGTGAGTATAGGCCTACTGTTTTGTCTTTTTCAGATGATTTGAGGTGACTACCACATAAAATGTGTACTCAAATCCTTTCTGTTAGAAGCAGCCATGAGTAGTTCTGAACAGAGGGAACAATGTCCCTAATGTAGCCCAGCATCTGAAGCAGAGGGCCATACTTTGAACTGTATTAGGAGCTTCTTCATGATTGTTTAGTAAAAATGGCATTTTCTGTCTCATCTCATCTCTTGTTTGCTGTGCCTCTTCAAATTCTCTCCTCTCTCTCCTCCCCGCCCGACTCTCTCTCCTATTACCATTTAAAAGAGCCCTTATTCTGCTTCCCTTGTAAAACTTGCTCAATCCCTCCCTGTATTTCTCTCACCCCTTCTCGTTCATTTTTAGTCCTATATTTATTTCATTGTTTCCTTCTTTACAGAACATATTTTGATTGTTCCATATTTTATTATAATCTGCAGTTGCAATTCTTGACTCACTCTTCCTTGGTCAAGGCTAGCCTCAACCTCGCTGTGTAGCTAAGAATGAACTTGAATTTCTGATTTTCCTTTCTCTTGTATTTACAGGTATGGACCACCATGCCTAGCTCTGATGTTGGAAATTGAACCCAAGGCTTTGTGCAAACTAGGCAAGCACTCTACCAACTGAGCTGCATCTGTAGCCCTAGATTCTCTTTGTTGCTTCCTCCACTTTCTCTCTGTTTCTTTTTCACACTTACTTTTCTACTGGTCTGTTCCCATATCTACTATTAACTGACTTTTTCTCCTAGCTGCAGGCTGTCCCTTTAGTTATTAATCAAGTGCCTTCCCCTCCCCAACTCCTACTTCAAACTTTTCTTCTACATTTCACCATTGCCCTTGATTTCTTATCAGGTTTCCCCCTTATATCCTCTGTCTATCCCTGTTCCTTACTGACTCATTTGAAATTCCTCCCTCTTTTCTTCCATCTCTGTCATTGCCTCCTTGATTTTACTGTCTTTCCTTCACATTTAAAATTGGCACCGTCCTGCGGGGCCAGGATTTATCCCTACTGCTTGTACTGGCTTTTTGGAACCCATTCCCTTTGGATGTATACCTTGCTCAGCCTAGATATAGTAGGGAGGGCTTTGGACCTTCCCCAAAGCAACTCTCTGAGGAGTGGATGGGGGGGGTGCTGCGGGGAGTAGGTCAAGGAAATGGGAGGAGGGGAGTAGGAACTGGGATTGGTATGTAATATGAAAAAAAAAAGATAGCTTGCTTTCTTTTTTAAAAAAAGTAAAATAAATTAAATAAAAAATAAAATAAAATTGGCCCCTTCTTTTAGAATTTCTGTCATTCTTAACACTCGCTGTGTCCCCAGTTCATCCGTCTTTATTTCTGTACCACTTGGCTGACATCTTACATATGCATCACTGGATTATCTTGTTCTCTACGATTTGAATTTTCTTGCTAATCCTACCTTTCTAACCTTATCTTATATTCAAATGCTCTTTTTAAAACATTACTTTGCACAGACTTACAAGTTTAAACTTCTATCTCTCCCCTTTCTTCATTGTTTGCTCCTAATCTCCTCTCACTTCACTTGACATCTCCCTTTCTCCCTCCATCTCTCACTTCCTTCTGTCCCCTTCTTTTCCCTCTTCCTTCATTATTTAATTTTTTTCTATTAGTATAATTCTATTGTTATTTTTTTCTGAGACAGGGTTTCTCTGTGAAGCCCTGGCTATCCTGGAACTCACTCTGTAGACCAGGTTAGCGTCAAACTTATGCCTGTCTCCTGAGTTCTAGTCTTAAAGTCATGCTCCCATCACCCACCTCCCCCCCTTTTCTTTTCTTTTTTTTTTTTTTACCAAGCCAGGGTCCTTTTATGTAGCTGTGACTGTCCTTGGACTTTCTCTATATACCAGGTTAGCCTCAAACTCACAGAGATCTGTCTGTCTCTACCTCCAGAGTGTTGGGACTAAAGATGTATGCCACCATGCCTGCCTTCTACTTGGCATACTTTAAAATATACTTTACCATTTTTACATGTACTTCTTTTCTTTTGAAATTTTCTGCAAATGGTGCATACAACTTTATGCTGTGTGTTTCATATGTATGCCTTCAAGTTTTATGGTGCAATCTGTGTCTGCCTCCCTACCTATCCATCTGCTCATCTGATTTTCCATACCCTTGAAAGTCATCTTTTGAATCCTTCTTTCTTCTCCCTCACATCCTCTTTTAATTTGTTACATTTCACACATTTTTGCACACTTAAAGCTCCTTGTAGAAAGTCTCATCCTCTCTGTCTCCTGCTTCTGGAGTAGCATTTTACTCTTGATTTACAATGAACACTTTTTCCTTGTTCTCCAGCATCCCCCTCCTTCGCACTGGCTCCCCTTTCATCTGCTCCCCCCCACTTCTGTAACTCCAGGCTCGATTTGACCTCCATATGTAAAGTACACAGGCCGGGAACTTGCTGTGTTTCTCCTGCCTCAGTCTCTTGCACGTGCTCCTTTCTTCTCAAATGCTGGCATTTCCTACTCTTTTATTGTCGCTCATTTCCCCTCCATCTTTCTTCAGCTACTTCTCTCAAACAGATTTTACTTGCCCTTCCTTCACAACATTTCCCTTTTTGTCCTCACGAGTCTTGAGTCATTTTAAAACTTTTCTCTGCTTTTGATCTTTCTCTCTTCTGCCTTTGCCTTTCCTCATCATCTTGTTTGCAAACTTTATTCTTACCAACTTACCAACACTTCGGTATGCTTCTTTTTCTTTTCTTCAGTGTGTGTGTGTGTGTGTGTGTGTGTGTGTGTGTGTGTGCCAAAAGGCAGCTTTGGTGTCACCCTCAGCAAGGCTATTCACTTCCTTTGCCACAGGCTTTCTATTTGTCCCAGCACTCACAAAACAGGCCAGACTAGCTGATTACAGAGCCCCCAGGTGGGGGGTCCTGTCTCTGCACCCTCAGTGTCTGTACTACAGTTCTGTTCCTCTACACCATGTTTATGCCCTCATGCCATCTCCACATGGTTTCAGGGATGACAGTCAGGTCCTCCTGGCTGCAAGGCAACTAAGTCACAGAGCCTCAGCCCCTAGCCCTTCTTCCACTCTCTTCACGTCTTTCCCCTTCTTTTCTCTCTTTGCCTCTGACTTTCTTCTCATTTTGTTTGTAGATACTTTGTTCTTCCTGACTCTTCCTGCTTATGTAGGCTCTTCTTTCATTTACTTTTCATTGTCTCCTTTATTTCTTACTTTTGTACTTTTCCTTTGTTCCATTATTAAGGGAAAAAAAATCATTCATTTTTTTTCTCTATTTTGTAGCTATTCTCACTTCTTCTCTAGCTGCTACCCAGTTAACGTATCTATATTTCGGTTGAATTTTTCCATTCAGACCTCTGGATTTCCCTGCTTTCCTCAGTTTTATCTATTTCTTTGGCATGTACTGTGTGTGCTGTTTACATGTGTTTGTGCATACATGTGCGGGTGTGTGTATTCATACACATACATACAGAGGCCAGAGAAGGACAGTGGATGTCTTTTCCTATCACTACCTTACTCCCTTGTGACAAGGTCTCTCACGGAACATATGTAGTTCCAGAGACTTGAATGCAGGCCCTTGTGATTGGGAGGCAAGCGCTTTTGTCTACTGAGTCATCTTCCCAGCCTCCTTGCTTTTGCTTAAAACAAATACTGCCCTTCCAGACACCTGACTCTTACTCTCACACTTCTTTTTAAAATATACTCTTTCATATAGACTGACCACAATTAACTATTTTCCTCTGTGCTTTAGTTCTTTCTCTATCCCTCTGCCCTGTACGTCATTGTTTCACTCATCACGCTTTCCTTTCTTCTTTTCTTCCTTGCTCCATTTCACCTGTCTCTTCCTTCCTTCATCCTCCTCCTCCTTTCCTGTCATTCTTAGATTCCTTTCTCTTTCACTTATTAGCAAAAAACTCTTTTAATCTTGGTATCTCTGTCATTGTAACTCTTTGTATCTACTTCATGCCTTGATGCTCTTTTATGCCTTTTAAATCTCAATCTGTCTGTTTACCTACCTATCCACCTACACTTTTATCAACTTCCCTATTTGTCTACCTGCCTGCCTATCATTGATAATTGCTACTTACATATCTCCACA